GAGTCAGGGTGGGCCATACCTTCAGGTCCTAGAACAATAGCTTTTTACGTGCATTAAATACTAGGCTTATTAATTATTACCTTAAACTGAAAATTTCCAACTCTTGAGTCCCCCATCATTAGAATGACAGACTGTGCCCATGCAACCACCTTTGACAATTCCCAGGAGGGAAGCCAGGCCGGAATAAGAAATGGCTACATGGGGATTATTTTTGCATTTGTTCTAAGGCCATCAATACAGCCACCATTTTATAGTTGTTGCTGGGGACCAGGAATCAGGCAGATCTGGGATCCAGGCCAGGCTTTTCCATTTACCAGTCCTGGGACCCTGAAGTCCCCTCCCCTCTCTGTGCCTCCATATCCTCATCTGTATTATGAGGTCAGAGCAGCCATCTGTAGCTGAATTGCGAGGAGGGTGGGTGGATGTGCCCAGCCCAGCCCCACACACAGAGTTGCTCGACTATGGTCGCCCTTAGGACAAGCCCCTCCATCCAGGCTACTTCCTCTAAAGGGTGAGGGGAGCCAGAGAGCTGGGTCTCCAGCCCCCCACCTTCTCAGCACTCAGGTGGAACTTTTTCCAGTTCTCAGGTTCTAGAAATGACAGTGCCCCTTGCTGTCACACAGGAGGCAGGGGGGATGTTTGTGGCAGGACAGAGAGCTGATCAAAAGACTTGTGGCCTGACTAAAGAAAACAGTTTACTGAACATTAACCTGCTATGCACATTACTAACACAGCCCATTGATAAGCCAGTCTGTTTATCACCACAATGAGGGACAAAGCTGCTTCCCAAAGCTTTGGCTGAGTCTCAGAGTGGGAGGAAAGGTCAGTAACTGCTGAGAGTGGGAAGTTTGCATTAAGGTGGAGAGGGAGGGGGTGAGGGGAACCTGACTAGGACTGGGTGAGAATAGTGATCCAACAGCACAGGATCTGTGGGTGGAAACAACAAGGTAAGGATTTGTGGGAGGAGAGATTCCGAGAATTTGCAGGTATACGTTTTGTTCATAGTTTCCCTGGAAAAGTGGATCAGTCTTTTGGGAAGTTCCTGTAATAAACAGTCAAGCCATTTGCTTGGTCTGGCCAATCGGGGTGAGTAAGAAGGAAACATACTAATGAAAACAATGGGAAATCAAAGGCAAGTAAATGTGGACCGTAAGGAGTGGTTTTTGGCTTTGAGTGTCCCTTCTGAGTGTGGAGTGGAAGGGCCTGGTTCCCAGTGGATGCTCTCTGCGCTGGAAAGTGGGGATAATCGTTCCTGCATTGCGGATGAAAGGCCAAAGGGCCACTGGTCCAAGGCCCTGCGGCAGTGTTGCAGCTCAGGGATTCAAACCTAGACAGTTGCCTCCAAAGATGGCGAATGTGCGTGGAGGGAAGACGTCCAGTTCCTCGGATGCTATGGTTGACTGGGACTTGGATGAGAGGGAGAGAGAGAATCCAGAGATGGTGTTAATTTGGGTGTGTGCGGAGGGGAATGGGATCGGTTGGGCCTTGTGGTCTCGGAGGTGCTTGAAGTTTATCGAGAGTGGAGAGGGCAGTGGTCCTCAGCGGGGCCTGCGTTGCGCCAGGCCTGCGCCAGGCCCCCTGCATGCCTTATCTCCTTGGGGTGGATGCTGCATCCTCACCTTACAGATGAGGAAACGGGCTCAGAAAAATGAAGGGCCTTGTCCAGGCTCACACAGTGCGCCCGGTGGTGGTGGGGCTGGCGTTCAGACCCAGGTCAGAGGACTTGGGAAGCTGCCATCTGCATGGGATTTGCTGTTGGCAGCTGGGAGGGATGGAAGAAACAGGTCCCCAAGACTTTCTAGCAAAGAGCAGGTGGGAAAGGCACCTCTCCCTCTCTGACTGCTCTCCGAAACCTTGGCCCTCATCACCCCGGACTCAGCTGGTGTGAAGAAAGCTGATCCCTGCCCATGGTGGGGGTAGCTAGAGTCACACTCTCTGCCTTGTGGACCCACCTCCGCAGTCTGACCGAACTGGTAAACCAGGTCTCAGGGTGACTGTCTGACCAGCTTGCCAAGCAGTTGCAGGCAGGTGGTCAAATGACAGAGCAAAGAGACAAGTCTCCTGAAAGACCAGCCAGACTATGACTTGCTAGCTGATGGGCGTGAGAGGGCCCTGTATGAACGACCAGCATGCACCCGCTGACAGGCTCATGGACCCCCTGCCCACCAGCTCTGGGGCTGTGGGTTCTAGCTCCTGGCACCACCTGGCCTGCCTGGGGACCCAAAACTTGTTTGCCTTCCTGAGAGAGAAAGGGGCTGGGATTTTTTTCCTGGGGTCTGGTTCCCTGCCTCTCCCTTCATCCCTACAGGCCACCCCTGCCCAGGCCAGATTCACGGCCATGGCTGCTCCCCTCCTGTTCAGCACTGGCCCCTGACCATCTCCACAGCACGGGAAGGGCCTCAAGGATGCCACAGGAGGACACACAGCCCTGGACACAAAAACCTGAGGGGACTCCTGTTCTCTATCAGGGATTTGGACTGTTTGCTGCCGATCCCTCAGTAGAGGCCTCAGCCCCCAGGAAGGGCTCAGAGGGGACTGGAAACCTGCCTGATCAGCCCCACTCAGTGACCAGCTGACCACTCAGTGCACTGACTGATGGTTGCTCTCGGAACCCAGGGGGTTGGAGCCAGTGCTTCCCTCTTCTGCTCAGAGGCTCGGGCTGTGGAGTGGGCTGTAGGGAAGTGGAAGGTCCTGAGCTGGTTCACTGACCTTCTGTTCCTCTCCCTCATCCATCCCTTGGGTCTCTTTCAGAGTTGGGGCTCCAGGTCAGTGACTTCTGCCCTCCTAGCCTCAGCTCCAGCCCCATTTTCTGGCTGGCCTGGCCCTCGGTTGGCGGGCACGGCTGCCCTCCGTGTGGCTAGGTTTGGTTGGGCTGGAGCACGCGCGCTTCTTCCCCTCCTCAAACCTGCGTGAGGACCATCGAGTGATGCTGATGTAAAGACCTGAGCTTGAGTCCCTGCACCAATGTCAACCAGCAGAGCTAGTTACCTCTGAGCTTCAGCGTCTTCGCCTGAAGCATAGAGACAATGAAAGCACCAGAGGCATGGAGCAGCGGAGCTCCTCCACGAGCAGGGGTATGGTGCAGCACCAGTGCTAGAGCGCGTGCTCCAGCCCAACCAAACCTAGCCACACGGAGGGCAGCCGTGCCCGCCAACAGAGGGCCAGGCCAGCCAGAAAATGGGGCTGGAGCTGAGGCTAGGAGGGCAGAAGTCACTGACCTGGAGGGCAGAAGTCACTGACCTGGAGGGCAGAAGTCACTGACCTGGAGCTCATCCGCCTCTGCGGGTGAGGGGATCTGGGGCTTAGAAGTGGCTCTGTCAATATCCCCTGAGTGAGAACATTTGGAAGCCCTTCTGTGAGCTTTGCAGGGATTTCCTCCCTCCCCTTCACTAAGCCTACCCCTTATCTCCTCCCTGTCAGGTGTCACTTTAGTTTCACTATCTCCTCTGAGTGTTTATGGCCCCAAAAGGGACTCCTCCCCAGCCACACACACTTTCAATTCCTCAGTAAGGCACCTCTAGCTATTTGAACAGATGTTTCTCCAAAGAAGATATACAATGGTCAACAAGCACCTGAAAAGTTGCTCAACATCATTAGCACTTGGGAGAATGCAAATCAAACCCACAGGAGATGCCTCTTCACACTAGGAGCCGGAGGGGTGGGGAGCGACTGCTAATGGGTATGGGTATGGGGGTTTCTTATTAGGGTGATGAGAACATCGTGGAATTCGTGGTCATGGCATTTAACTTTTTGGCTATACTAAACCCCACCAAATCGTGTACTTTGAAAGGATGGGTTTTATGGTGTGTGAATTATATCTCAACTAAAAAAAATTGCTCAGGCTCCCAGTACCTCGTGCAAGGAGCCCAAAAGCTCCGCTTGCAGCAGTTCCAAGCCTCTGCGTCCTCGTCCCTGGGTTTGCCTTCTAAGTCTGGACAAGGAGAGTACCCAGCCCCCTTCCTGGTCAGAGGTGTCCTCAGGTCAGTTTTCAGGCTCCAGAAGCAGCTCCTTGAATGAGAGGAAACTCCCACCAGGTCGAGAGGCATGTGAAACAATGGAGAAGGCTTCCGAAGGAAGCGGGGCGCCAGCAGGGGAGGAAGGCCAAGGAGGCCTGGGCTGCCAGAAGGTGTAGGTGGTTTCTATCCAAGCGGTGGGGTAAAGTCTCCCGAGGCCGAACTTCTGGCTCCTCACCGAGATTAAACGTCTGGAGACCCTAGGAGACGCCTCTGAAGGGGCTCAGCTTCCGTCTTGCTGCAGTGAGTGTGGTGCTGACATGCCTGCTGTGGCTCCCAAGGGGGAAACTGACATGTGTATCGGGCCCAAGCATCCAGTTCAACCACAGCTCTGCCTCCTTCTGAGTCAGCACCCGACTTGGGGCCACAGTTTGGGGAGGTGGGTTACCTAGGATGACCTCTGAGGAGGGCCCTCTCTGCACCGATCAACAACATGGTTTGATGTATGGTTTGGGGATTGGGTTGGTTAGCTCTGTGATTAGCCTTGTAGTGGGGTTGGCATCTGTTCCAAACTGCCCTCAGGAAAAGTTTTATACCCTGACTATGGACCACGCCTTGACCACCGCGCCTGACCCCAGACACCTGATCCGAGACTAACCCAGCCAGACCCAGACCCAGACTCGGCCTCCAGGAGCACCAATATCTCACCGCGCTAGGCCTAAGGCGGCTGGGACTCAGCGTTCCCTGCCACTGGGGTCACTGCTCAAAGTTGTGTGATGGGTCAGCAGCTTCTCCCTAGAAGGCAAGTCTGTGCTAGGAATGGATTGAAACTGTGAAACAGGTGGTCCAGGAAGCATCTGGCCAACGAGGGCACAAGGAGTACACACCCTCTTAGGACGGACCCTTTCAGCACCTGGGGCTCAGGAAGTCTGAAGGTGCTTTGAGTCTCTGAGCCTCACCAATCGCTGAAATACCTTGGTCCAACGGGTCAGGGCCGTTCTCTGGGATTCTATCTTCTTTCTCAACCCCTGGCTGTGTGTCTCATAGGGCCAGTAGGTGTGGAGCCCCAGGTGACAGACAAGGACACCAAGGCCACGATGGGCACAGAAGACACATGTGGAGACAAAGCCAACCCAGAATCTCAGGACTCGCGGCCAAGTGTGTTCCACAGCATCAAGGTACCTCTCGGGGCCCGGCAGCAGCAGGGCCATCCCAGCTGGGCAAAGCAAGCGCTGCCACTGACTGGCTGTGTAACGCCAAGCAAGTTGCTGCCTTCCTGAGCCTCGGTTTCCTCATCTGTAGAATGGGTGACTCTGAGGATCAAAGGGATGATCTGTGAAAGCATTTAGCTTGATTTTGGGCATGAGGAAAATGCGCAGTTCATGTGCACTCCTTTCAGAAATGAAAAAGGGGCTGCTTTGCGGCAGAGGGAGATGAGTCTCCATACCTCTCATTTCTTTAAAAGGAAAAGAAGGGCCCCGGGGATCCCGAACCTGTGTCAGGGGAGGTTCTGGCTCCAGGAGGGGCAGCCCTCAACGCCCAAGCATCCACTGGCACCCATAGGGCGCCTGGCCCTGTGCCAAGTGCCGCTCCCCCATCGTCTTACTTAGTTTTCACAGTAACCCTGCAGGGTCAGGACTTTGTCCTCATTGCACATGAGGAAATGAGACTCAGACAGAGTGAATGTTATTAAGCTCTGGCATAAAAACTCTATTTTTTAATTCTTTGAGGCTAGCTTTTCTTCGCTTAGGAATTCTGCCTTTTTTTCTTTTTCTTTCTTTTTGTTTTTGTTTTTTTTGGAAGCAGGAGGGAATGCTTGTGGTGGGGCTGGGCAGGGTGGGGTGGGCAGCTGGGGGATTTGGTGCATACGGGTTGTCTCCCAGGGGAGCCCCAGGGGACAGTGGGTGGGGAGTGAGGGAGGGGTGGGGAAGGATCTGGGATCACTCCCTGGAGAAAAGCAAGGGAGCTGGAACAAGGAGGTGGTCCAGGCCAGCCCCAGGAGCCCTGAGGGGCTGAGGGGACTCCACTATTCTAGGTCTATGAAGACCCTACTCTCAGCCATGTGGGTCTCATAGGTCCCCACCCGGGGGCCCTGGGAGACACCCAGGAAAGCTTTGCTCATTTGTGCGAGAGGCTGTGGTCACTCCAATAACTTTCTCATTCTCCCCCCCCTCCCCGCCTTGTTCTTGATTTGCCCTTACTCTCTCTCTTCCTTGTGTCTGTCTCCCCTGTTTCTTCATCTCTATTCTTTGCTCCACTCACGGCCCTATGCTCCCCCTTTCCCCAACTACACCTCTGTCTCGCCACCTCTGATTCTCTCCCTGTCCCTCTGCCATCACTGTGGCCCCTGCCTGCGGCAGTTCTTCGTCCTGTGCCACAGCCTGCTGCAGCTGGCACAGCTCATGATCTCCGGCTACCTCAAGAGCTCCATTTCAACGGTGGAGAAGCGCTTCGGCCTCTCCAGCCAGACCTCCGGGCTGCTGGCTGCCTTCAATGAGGTAGTGGCCCTGCCCAGCACAGGGTGGGGACGTGAGGTAGACCCGCCCCCAGCTCCCTCCCTCCTCCCTCACAACCCAACAGAAACCCTTCCCCTCCCTCCCGAAATCTCCTTAGTCAGTTCCTTCTTCATTATCCTGGCCAATAAAGGGGCGAACGATGGATTAGGACAAGGCCAAATGAGAAGACCTCCCCCACCATGTAAAGTTACAGTATTGGTAGTCCTGTCCTTGGGGGCACTTTAGTGAGGGGTGTGAGGTATGTTAGAGCTAGCCAGTGTCCCCACATCCAGGTCCCCTCCCTTTGGTTCGTTTTTCTTTATTGCCTGTCCCTGGATAGAATCAGAGGAAGTTACTTCAACAGTAGGGAGGGGGATTAAACTAGGTCAAAGGCAGAACTTTGGGACGTGGGGTGGGTCGGGAGGGAATGATGCCAAGGCAGGAAGTATTGTCCTCAGAGTTGTCCCAGGATCCACGGCCTCTGCCTCAGGGGCCCGCAGCCAGAGGGGAGCCCATAAACTGCTTTGGGTGGATTTGGAGACCACAGTCCAGCTGTGCCCAGCCCCTCCCCCACCAGATGTGGGGACAAAGCCCTCTGTCCAGAGATCACTCTCTTTCTTCCCTACACCCAGCGGATTTCTGTGAAATTCTCTCCCCTGGGGCTAATGTGTCACATTCCTCCCAACCCAAATTTTGCCAGCTATGCAGAGTTCCCAGATGTCCTTTAGACCCCACTTCCAGATCCCAGAGGTTGGAAGGGAATGTCATTACTGAGTTCTGGGACCTTGGTCAAGCCACTCTCTGTCCCTGGACCTCAGGGTCAGTCCTCCTACCAACCCTCTGCTGGCGCTGCCCCAACCCACCAGCAAGGAGCCTGGGGCTCCAGGGGTGAGGACGTCACCCTTGGTCACCAGCCAGTGAGCAGCGGAGTGGGGTGGTCGTCCCAGCTTCTGACGGAAGAGCCTGCTTCTTACCTGCAAGCTCTTGAGGCCCCTCCAGGGCCCGCATCCTAGGGTTTTGATTCCCAGGCTCAAAATTCCAAGCCTTAGCCATCTGGCACTAAACTTTCTTTGTTTCTCTCATTCGTGACATCCCAGAAACTCAAAACCCTTTTCCTGGATGGCCCCCCTTCATGTTCTAATATGGGATCCACCCCATGTTCCAGAATGAAATTGAACTTCCAGTCTTGTCCCCTCTGCTGTCATTTCTGCCCTTCCTAAGAGGACCCACAATCTGATTCTTATTTAGCCAGCTAGTCCACTGTACAGAGGGGAACACTGAAGTTGGCTATATAGGCAAGGATGGCGTAGCCTCTAGCTCTGGGTTCTGCTCCACCTCAGTGGGTCTCCTTATCCTTTTGCAGGTGGGGAACACGACCCTGATTGTGTTTGTGAGCTATTTTGGCAGCAGGGTACACCGACCCCGAATGATCGGCTATGGGGCTATCCTTGTGGCCCTGGCGGGCCTGCTCATGACCCTTCCACACTTCATCTCGGAGCCATACCGCTACGACAGCACCAGCCCCGGTAAGAGCCGGAGGGGCTGGGCGGGAAGTGAACCCGAGGAGCAGCGTCCTGTGCACTGGGCCCAACCCCAGGCCTTCACTGTGCAGGGCGGGCTCAGCTTCCCAGGACACCTGCTAGTCCTCCCCAGCCCACCCCCACTGTCTCGCTCGACCTCACTTACTGAGTTCTGGGACCTTGGTCAAGCCACTCTCTGTCCCTGGACCTCAGGGTCAGTCCTCCTACCAACCTTCTGCTTGGCGCTGACACCATCTACCCACCAGCAGTAGGAGTCCTGGGGCTCAGTGGATGAGGACGTATTGCCCACCACTTGGTATGCACAAGACAGTGTTCTAAGCACTTTGCTGGATTAATGCAATCGTCACAAGAAGCCTCCGACCCCAATGAGTGGATGAACAAATTTAAAAATGGAAGAATTTTAGACAGGAATAGTGAAGCCCCTATTCAGCCCAGTGGGGTTTTTGTCACAGGCCTACTTGACAGATGGATACCTGCCCCTTACAGAATGACCCAGGCATCCTGAGCATTTGCTTCATTCCTTCCTTCCCCCATCCACCTGTTTACGCACCCACCCATCCACATGCCACTTACCACTCTTCCTGTTTACAGCCCCGTGTGCTCGTGTTATTATTGTCCTACTTTACAAAGAGGAAAGGGAGGCTCAGAGAGGCTGGGACTTCCCCAAGGCACACGGCTGGTGGAGCTCTGACTCGCCCTGGCCACCTGGCCCTAGAACCTGTGCTCTGAACTCGTGAATTATTCTGTTTCTGAATTCCATATTTCTGGAGAACTCCCACTCTGGAGGACCCAGAAGGGGGAAGAGTGTCACAGTCTTTAGCCCAGGCAGGCTTGGTTGAAGGTCCAGGTTTTTAACCTTGGTTCACCCAGCTTTTGCTCAAAGTCGCAGCTGCTGGAAAGGGCTGGGCAGACCGCAGAGGGAAGGCTACTTCTGGACCCACATTTGGGATAATAATAGCATGAGAGTCTCCTTAAGTTTGCTCACCAAATATTGGTGAGCTATAAGGAACAAATGAGTGGTACTAAATTAAGAAATGCCCCTCTACTGAACTTTGCATCGGTGTCCCGAGCTCAGACTGAGCCCACCCCAGAATGAAGGCCAAGAACACCAGGGCCCCCCGCAATCCAGCCCTAGCACCCCTCCCCTGCCCGGCCCTGCTTCCAGCCCCGGCCTTGCCCTCACACTCTGGGGCCAGCAGTGCTGAGCTGCTTAAGCCCTCAGGTTTGCAATGTACTGTGACTACTTCCCAGAATAGTCCTCCCCGCCTTCTTTTTCTGGAAAATCATATTTGTTTTTCTCAACCCAGTTCAAACTCGATCACCTTTAATGCCCTGCCCCACCCAAGAGTACACCCTCTTCGCCCAGAAAGGTAGCACAGGGTGTTTTAAGAGCATGGGCTCAAAACCAGGCCGCCTGGATTCAGTTCTGACCCTACCCTTGCTAGTTGCTGCCTGAGCATCAGTTTCCTCATCTTGTGAAATAAGAATAATGAGAGCACCCATCCCCGAGGTTTGTTGTAGGGGAAGCGGGGAGGTGGGGCGGGGCGGAGAGGGAGGGATCAAATCATTGAAATACACAAACACTTAGAGCACTACCTTTCATCCAAGAAGTGCTGTATAAAAGTCTTGGCTATTGCCATAATATTTTTTTTTATCACCTCTCAGTGGACACTCCGCAGGACTCCGAGGCTTCCCTGTGCCAGCCTGCAACCTTGGCCCCGCCCCCAGCCCCCTCCAATGGCAGCAGCTGTTCAAGCTACACAGAGGCCAAGCATCTGGCTTTGGTGGCAATAATGTTCATGGCGCAGACCCTGCTTGGTGTGGGCAGCGTGCCCATCCAGCCCTTCGGCATCTCCTATATCGATGATTTTGCCCACAACAACAATTCGCCCCTTTACCTCGGTGAGGACGGGTTCTGCCTCTCTTGGGCACTGTGGGAGGGCCGGGCTCAGGCAGGAGGAACAGGGTCCTTGAGTGAGGGGGAGGTGGTGTGGCTGGCCTCTCTCCGTGTGGCCAGTAAAGGGCCAGAGAAGCCCTAGAAAGTTTTCTGGGCACAAGCCGGAGAGATAGGCTGCTTTTTCCCAGAGGGCAGGCCCTGACCTGCTGAGGGCAGCCAGGGTTAGAACGGCTTAACTTAGGATTTTGTGTTGCAGGGATGCTGTTTGCAGTGACGATGATGGGGCCAGGCATGGCCTACGGGCTGGGTGGCCTCATGCTGAGCCTTTATGTGGACATTAACCGCATGCCAGAAGGTGAGCACCAAGAGCACACAATTGTCCCCAGGGGCACACAGATACTAGGCAACTGACTGCTGGTCTCATGGGAGACACTGAGCCAGCGGGTCCAGGTTCAAATCCCACAATCCCACCGACCTTGGACAAGCCTCTTAACCTCTCCTCTTCCCCATCTTTGAGGTAATCTTTTTCCTATCTATCTCCCAAGGGTGCAACCAGAATCCAGTGACATGATGGAGACAAGTTGAAAGCACTCTCAGATGAGGAGCTGTGGTTGTTGTCATTGTTATTATGGCTTCACCTTGTTCCATCACTGAGTCACCCAGGCTCCCAGCCCCATGCTCAGATGTGCTGCGGGCAGACAGGGGCACATACTCTCTTAGCCTGTAGGGAGCTCCCATCTTTAGGGGGAAAAGAACCAGGAGAAAAGGAGAGGACATTGGCATGCCAGGGACAACGTTCAGAGCAGGACTCAGTTCCCTGGGGCCTCTCTCCAATGGGAATGTATTGGGTGACCTCTAAGGACCTTTCCAGTTCTGACCACCTCAGAGTTTGGGAACCTGTGCCAAGGGCATCACTGGGGGAACAGTGGTCTCTTGATCCAGGTAGTGGTCAGAGGGGGCCAGGGAGTGGGACCAAAGCTTGGTATGAAGGCAGCCAAGAGGGAGGGAGGAGTTGGGGGCCCTGGCGCCGTGGCACCCTGCGGGCAGTGGGAGAGGGTTCCACTTAGAATGGGTCACTGTGCCATCTTGGCTGCCTGCTCATCACACCACGCAGCCCTGAGCCCCCAACTCTGCCTTCTGCTGCTCAGAAGTTCTATCCCTCACATGGGGATTTTCCAGAGAGCCCTAGAAACCTCAGGTGGTAAGGTACAAATAGGTAGACATATAGATTCTGTTTCTTATTCCAGTTTTGCTCACTAGTACCTCCTGCCAGGACAGGTCTAGGCAGCTCTGAACAAGAATCACTAGAAACAGCAACACAGCACTTCCACCTCCCCTTCTCCTTGAAAGCTGGGCCTAGGAGCCAATGCAACTTTTCTCTCCCTTGGGAACCAAGACTTCCTTAGATTCCTAGACACACCCCAGCTCAGGGCAAGAGGGTGTGTTTTCTGGCTTTCGTGGCACCGTCCTACACATGTGGCACCTCCACAGACTGACATGACATTCCTGTGAAGCTAGTCCTTTCTCTCTGGGGGCTTTCATGAGTGGGCGGATTGTGTCCATGGCAGGCACAGACAGGTATGTGAGAAGCAGAGGAGTTGGGGAGATGCAAGTGTGAGCTCTCCCCTGGGACAGAAGCGGGGGGAATAATAACTGGAGGAGGGAATCCATGCTAAAGCCAACCGCTGCCCAACTTATAGCTACAGTTGCTGGGTGCTAACTGTGTACATGGGTCTCTGAGCTCCGGGAGGAGCTCAGGATCAGCTACTTGGGAACCAGTCTGACTCATGGGGTGGTGTCATCACACATCCAAATCCTTATAAAGAGTTTGTGGATTGAAGGAGGAGGTACCCAAGACGCCTTAGGGTCAAGAGGTTTGATGGGGAATGGGGGCGCTCCAGACAGGAGCTACATCTGGAGTGATCTGGTTCTAATTACACCTGGTAGGAGATCAGAATCTCCTGGGGGACTTGTTAAAGGTGCAGATTCCTTGGTCACCATCCCACCCCACCCCATGGTAGTTCTAAGTTGGTCTTAGGTGAGATCAGGCATTTTTGATAGATGCCTCTGGTGATTTTGCTCATCCTGCAGGTCTGAGAGCCACAAGAGTAGTCCTAACCATCAGCTTAATAATAATCATCACAATAGTGAGAGTAAAACGAAGAAGAACAAACGCCTTCGCAGAACATACTCTATGCCAGCACTACTCTAAGTGCTTTTTACATGTATTCATTTCTATGATTCTCACAACAACCTCTGATGTGGATACTACTAATGTCCGTATTTTACAGAGGAAGAAACTGAGCCACAAAGAGGTTAAGTAACATGCCCAGAGTTACGTTAGTAATGAAATTCAGACCCAGCAGTCCATTTCCAAAGTCTGTGGCCTTGGTCACCACACACATCGCCTTAGTAGATGGAAAAGCTGAGGCCCAAGGGACTTGCCCACGGTCATGCAGGACATAAATGGCAGGACCCAGATTATCACCGAGGTCTCCTTATGCCCCACCCAGCCTACCTCATGCCTTAAAGGTCAGTCCCAGGGTGGTGGCCAAGAAGTGATGACTCATCCTGAACCTAACATCACTATGGTCTTCTCTTCCAGGTGGTATCAACCTGACCTCGAAGGACCCCCGATGGGTGGGTGCCTGGTGGCTGGGCTTCCTCATCTCTGCTGGCGTGGTGGCCCTGGCTGCCACCCCCTACTTCTTCTTCCCCAGGGCGATGCCCAAGGAGAAACATGAGCTTCACATACAGCGAAGGGTCTTCTCAATTGTCAGAAAAGTAAGCTCCCTTTATGTTCCCACTCTCATCCAGGCTCTAACCCCCACCAAATTTTCCTCCTTTGTAATATTAAACTTCATCCCTCCTGGGCACTGCACTTCACAGCTTACAAAGCCATTCCTGTGGGGCTTCCCTGCATCCCTCCAACAGCCCTGCGCAAGGAGTATTTCCTGCCCCTCCCACAGCTGAGGAGATCAAGGGCCAGAGATGGAAGTGGCCTGCCCGAGATCGCAAGGCCAGCAAGGGCAGCGCCGCGATGAGAGCCCCAGCCTGTCTGTACATATGGCCCTAGTTTTAACCACTACACTATTGCCTCTCCGCTTGTCACGTAAAGTTGTCTCTGTAAAGGCTGGACACGCTATAGCGATGTTGAGAGCTGGGAGGAGGGTGTGTGAGTCTGGGAAGACTTCTCCCAAGAGGAGGGATTGAGCTGGATTTTAAAGGATGTGTGGAAGCCTGGAAAGAGAGGGAGGGGCATTCCTGATGTGGAAACAGCCTGGGCAAAGGACTTGGCAATAACAATGACAAACTTAGAGACAGTGAGGGGACAAACATGCATCGAGTGCCTCCCCTGCACGAGACATCAGGCTGGACTCTGGAGCTCGGTACGTGGTCTCTACCCTTCTAACAGGCACAGCCTAGTCAAGGCAAAGACTCACTGAGAAGTAAAAACGGGTGAGGCGCTGCAGGGGTATCTCACTGAATCCCTCTGCTCAGCTTGTGGGGTGGGTGGTCTTTCTTCAGAGGAGGACACTGAGACCCAGCAGGCGCAGGAAGGGGCATGCCCAGGGTCACAGCTGCTAAGAGAGAGCAAGACCATGTGAGTCACTGGGCAGGAGAGATTATTCTGGGCCAGGAGTCTTCAAATTTTCCAGGGACCCACAAAAATATAAGGCCTGAAAAACAGTAAATTGGCTCCAAAATACAAAAGAAAACGATAAACTAGAAATTTTATACATGCTCAGTTACATGAGTAATGTCAATTTCATTCATTTTTCAAATAGTCTTGCACTTTCTATTATATTCTGAACATTTGTGTTCAATTTTTTTCTTTCTCCAAGCATGGGAGGGTAAAGAACTAGCACCCTCGGGCTTCTCCTCTCCATACACACACGGCACTTCTGTGACCAGATTTTTGGTGACATCCTCTGGGTATCCTGTAATTTAACTCCATTCTGACCCTATCTACCTGGAGACAGTATCAGATCCCCCAGGTTGAGGGCTCCGTCCCACAAGACTGCCCCTGCTTTACAGGCCAATCACAAGTAGGCCCCAGGTTACCCACTTCTGTGCAACTTGGCTATAAATTGGAGGTTCTCACAACACCCTCCTTGGAGTCAGTGACTTGCTAGAACAGCTCACAGAACTCAGGGAACACTTTCCTACGTTCACCAGTGTATCACATAATAAAGGGTATGGGAAAGGATACAGATGAACAGCTGGGTGAGGAGAGACACGGGTGGGAGGGTCCCGAGTGCAGCAGCTTCACTCACCAGCACGTGGATGTGTCCACTGACAGGACCTGGAAGCTGCCAAACCCCCTATTATTGGGATGTTTCATCACGTAGGCATGATGTCTTTTCCCAGCCACTGTCCCCTCTCTGAAGTATGAAGGACTGGGGCTGAAAGTTTAAACTTCTAGTCATAACTTGGTCTTTCTGCTGACCAGCTCTTACCCAGGAGCCCACCAAAATCTCCTATTTAAAACAAAAGATACTCCTGTCACTCAGGAAATTCCAAAGACCTTAGGACCTCTGTATCAGGAACCAGGGTCAAAGACTAAATGTTAGAACAAAAAATTCTAGCATCCCCATTTACAAGAGTTTTAGGTGCTCTCTGTCAGGAACTGGGGCAGGAACCTGCATATGTATAATATACAACATATAATATACAATATATAATTATTTCACAGGAAAGTCATTGTTGAGCAATCACAAACAGATTAAGTTAGTTGTTGCTAAGTAGTTCTAATTTCCAAGGGACATTTATAGAAATCATGTTGAATGTTTTGTAGCAAGAATAATTCTATTTAATGTGGCTGGTTGGTGCATTGAATGTTTGCTGTAATATATGATATGGTCTCCTTAGAGCAAGAAAGTCTGGGCCTAGGAGCACGGGCTGAAATGTCTCTGCCTAGAGAAGCTGGGACTTGAGCCCCGGTCTGACTGACCGCGAACCAGGCTGCTTTAGGAGCCTCACCACCTCGTCCTCCTGCTGGAGCACAGGTGTGTGGGGGGACCAAAGAAAAATGAGGTTGGAACAGCCAGCAGGGGCCCGAACAGGACAAGCTTTGCCTGTCATCTTTAACAGCAGCAGGTGGCTGGAGGGAGGGTACGCAGGGGGCCCTGCGGTTCTATCAACAGGCAGAGACAGGGGAGTGTGCGGAGAGTGGCTGGAGGCAGGGAGACGTCATTGGTCCTGGGAGGCACCAGCGCACCCTCAGTGAGCTGGGGCATGGGAATGAGTCCAGGAGCCATGCAGGACGGGGCCTGCACAGAGCTGGGGGCTGCTGTGCTACGCGACATCCCAGAGACAGTGGAGGGCTGGGCTGATGCTGGATCAGAGGCAGGGGGAGGCAGGCGCTGGAGGGGAAGCAGTTTCAGAGGAAGAAGAAAGCTTGGAACCACAGATGGTTCGTCCTGGTTTAGCCTAGCTCAGGACAAAATTTTGAAGAGCTAGAATTCTTAGAACTTGGAGAAGAGTTCTTAGAAGCCGGGGGCGATCATAGAGGAAAGGGAGTGCCTGGAGTGCTGTTGATGAATAACTTCCAAGCTGGTCCTAAATTTGAACAGAAAGAACAACCACTTGGGCCTCAGGATGGAATAGCGGGGGAACAGATTGGTCTGTCCTGAGCTCAGTCACATGTCAGTCATGTGACCTTGAGCCAGTCAGTTCCCTATTCTGCTCTGTCCTGTAAGATGCTGAGGTTAGATTCATGGGGCACAATCTGAACACCTTGGACTCTGAGAATGTGTGATTCCTTGAATTGAAGCTGCTGTGATGCAGAGATTCAGATATTAAGAGCTGTGTCCCTGTGATGCCTTGAAACCCTGGTTCCCAGGCTGCAAACTTGTCTGGCTGTCTGCATTCACTCTGTCAGCACATCGGGGATGTGGAGTGGGGCGGGAAGGGGGTGAGAGGTTCTTAAAAAAGAACCAAAGGCTGAGAACATGATGATCTCCCAGCAGCTCTCAGGTAATAAATATTGATGTGGGAGGAATTGTTCCCCTGCCTCCTGAGGCCGCCGTGACTGTGTCTGCTTACAGTTATGCCGGCTGGCCCAGCCACTCGGGCTGCTGACAGAGAGGTGGATGGACCAGGAGGAAGGGCCCAATTAGGTGGAATCAGCTGTCAGAAAGTCCAGATGCCTAGATATGGGACATGGGACATGGGACATGGGACATGGGATGTGTTATCTCCTGCAGGGAGTGGGACCAGGCAGGGGGACAAAGTGAAGAAGGGACTACTTCTGAAATCCCTGCGAGCATCCCCTCCCAGGCTCAGGGGTGCCTTAAATACCCTCCTAGAAGCAAATGCTGTTTCTAATGGTATCCAGGAGATGGTGGTATGTAATACAAGGATTGTGTGACCCAGAGGAGGTCTCTGGCCTCACTCTCCTTGTCTGTACAATGGGCAGAAGATTGGACAAGGTCTTCCAGGTTTAGTGGGGCCTCCTCTAAGTGGCCCCCTGTTTCTAGAGCACCTGCACAGTGGGGCCGAGATGCATCCACAGCCCCTGCCCCGAAGAGCCCTTGGGCAGTGAAGGAAGGCCAGGGGCAGACAACGGGGCTTGATGGAATGGCAGCTCAGGCTCTCTGCCTGGCGGAAGGGGAGCATTAACAGTTTCCACAGAGGAGACAATGAGGTGAGGGATGGGAGCAGTCGTATGGAGCACGGGAGGGGACAGCAGCTCTGCTTTCCTGCCTTTGGATCTGTCCCTGTATCTGTTACCTCAGAGTCCTGGTGGGCAGCCAGGCACCTTTCTAGGAGTGACCTGAGACAGGTCGTACCTCTCTCTGGGCCTCAGTCTCCTTATCCACAAGCAACCAGCCTCTAAGGTCCTGTCAAGCCCCAGGACTCCTGGCAGGTGGTTCTGCAGAACTTGTGGCATAAAGATGGTCTCTCAGGGCCGCCCTAGGAGGTCATCTGGACCCACCTGTCCTGGTGGTGGCAGGGCCCTGTTCAGCCGGCCACCCTCCTGTGCCTTCACACCCTCAGGCCGTTCTGAGCGCCTCGGGGCTGGGTCAGGGGCTGGTTCAGGGGCTGCAAAGGGCCTCCTCTGTTGGGATTCCCTGCCACTGCCCTGCCTCTAAGCACCACTATTATTCTGCAGTATCTCCTAGAATCTGGCATTCTATAATTATCTGGTTTTATTTTATTTCTATTTTTAAAAAGATGTATGTATGTATGTATGTATGTATTGTAGAGAGAGGGGAAGGGAGAAAGAGACAGTGAGAAACATCAATGTGAGAGAGAGACATCAATAGGTTGCCCCTCGCATGTGCCCCTTCTGGGGACCAAACATGCAACCCAGGCTTGTGCCCTGGCCAGCAATCGCTTCGTGGGATGACGCTCTAACCAGCTGTGTCACTCTAGGCAGGTTTTAAAGTTCTGTGTTTCTAGTAGTTGGAGATTCTCAAGTACTTGTGTTCTATTTTTCTGACTCAAATGATGTGTGATTTCCAAAATTCACGTTTCTAAATGACTAGGATTTTGGCCAAAGAATTTATGAAATCCATTGTCTCCCAGTCGTTAACCCTGATGTGCTTCTTTGGGAGTGTGGTCAGTGATGGGGACAGGAGTGGGCTGTGGCAATGGCCCCTAAAACCCAAGACTTAAGACGGGGCTGTTGCGCTCTGCCCAGCCGGGACAGCCCTCTTCCCCGGGGACTTTGTGCTCCCTCGGCAGGCCCTGTGAGGTCCGAGGTGACTTGGGTCTTCCTTGTGCCCAGTATCACTCCCTCCAGACCCCTTTCCACTGGCGTGAGAGCCCTCTGGGTC